CTCAGGTTCGAGTGGTCTGGAGGCTTCAGACGGAGTGGAGACTCCCCCCGGGGAGACGCCATCCGACTGGAATACCTCCAGAGGCACTCGCCAATTCTCGGCTTGAGGTCCCCTTAGGATCTCGCCGTCCCCAAACCCGGTGACGCTGTAAAGGTCATCTGCGACCAACAGCATACACACTCAAAAAAAAAAAAAAACCTCGTTGTCAAACAATGTCCGTTTGTTCATCGGTAACGTCAGAACACGCCTTCGAGACTTCATGGAGGCAAACAAAACGTCATAATCTCATACTTAACAAGAATTTGCTTAGTATGAATCCAAAAAGATGGTACGTGACGCAGTGCATGTTTAAATTAACATATAAGGTGTGTTGGGTTATTTTTAAAATACGTCGATCGTCATACGATTTACAAAGCGAGCTAGCCTAAAACTGCGCACCTACGCACAATTCTATGAAGTAGATTCATTTTCATAACATTTGAAATTCAATTAATATTCAAGTTTAATTGATTTTGTTTCTTAGGTTTTCAAGCACACCACTAATTAAATAAAACAAGTTTCAACGGTATAGATGCACTGATTTTTTTATTTATTGACGTTTCGCATCCTTTACTGGATGCGGCGTCGTTGGACTTAGATGAAACACGTTTTATTTAATTGATTTTGTTTAAGTAAAGTTTATAGTTTTTATGCATCTGATATCTGATGATATTTAATTTTCTTCTGTTAGTATTTGTTTTTTAAGTAATGCAGTAACTTCTTTAGTTTATACAGAAAAGTACTTACATAATGTAAAATTAGGTAGGTAGAAATGATGAGATTAGGACCTACTATTACAATAACACAACATTCAAAGTGCAGTTTAATGACTATTCCGGGTGGTATATTCCAGCGGTTTAGACGTGAAGAAGTAACAAACATACACACTCACAAAATTTCGCCTTTATAATATAAGTGAGATTACAGTATAATCATTTACTAATGTACTCTTATGAGGTAATCAATACGGAACAACATGTTACGTAGTCATTAAAGGGTTTAATTATAATAGCCACTGAATAAGTGCATATAGAACTAGTGTCATTCAATTAGTAATTATATAAGTATAGCAGATTTTTTATTTGAAATTGTGAATATGAATGTTATGAAAATTAATCTACTTCATAGAATGTGCGTGTTTGTGCGTAGGTAAGCAGTTTTAGGCTAGTTCACTTCATCGTATGACTATCGACGTATTTTAAAAATAACCCAACACGCCTTATACGTTAACTTAAATATACAATGCATCACGTACCATCTTTTCGGATTTATGCTAAGCAAATTCTTGTTAAATATGAGATTATGACGTTAAGTTTGCCTCCATGAAGTCTCGAAGGTGTGTTCTGACGTTACAGATAAACAAACGGATATTGTTTGACAACGAGGTGAGTACACCGAAGGGATCTAAGATGATGACATATTATGGCAAATATGCGTTATTTGATAATGAAGCTATTGGTAATGTAAAAAATTAAAGTCTATTTGCTTTTCTTAGGGTTAATTTTACTAGTTGCTCATCAGGTTGATAATTATATTTTCTAATACAGAAATAATGAAGATATACAATGACAATGTTTAAACATTGTTATTTAAATCAATAGATAATATCGTTTAGCTTACTTTGCATTAATTATATGGGAAGTATCTATGAAAACCGGACCATTTTCAACGGAAGCTTCTATCCCATTAAAAATTGACTCTTGTAGAATTTGACTAGAGTTAATGTCACGTCAAATTCATAGTTAATGTAACAAATTTTATCAAAATGGTTATTTTTTCTCTAATATTTTAACTATAGTCAAACTTAACTATCGCAGCCTTTGTGAGTCCGCACTTTTTAAAGCGCATCTGTTCTTTGTTTAGCGGTCGATAAAAATATAATATACAAATGTTCAACCCCTTGCAGTGTAGAGTTGCAGGCTAGGTTTTCTTTGATTTTCTAGAATTTTCTTGAAACAAAGGATGAAACTCATGCTTTCAGTTATGTCGTGACTAAGAAAAAACAAATTTATTTAAATATACCTTTTATAGATAGGTTACTACCCTCATCGCATCAGATATTCTGGAGAATCTTCGCAACCTTATTCACTGCATACACACGATGCCACTGCTATACTAGGATGGCATCACAGAGATTACACCGCCGCTGAAAAATTGTATTCAAGTTTTTAACGAAAACTGTTCAGAAAACATTAATGAAGACGTCATTGAACTGCTGGCGCTCTGTCAAGTCGTCGAAAAAACAACACTGACTCTAGCATTTCTTGTCAGTGGTGCTATTCTCTAAAACTTTTCACCGTGGAATTCGGAATTCATGTTCGAAATTAAAATTACACCGCGGATTATGGGGTGACAAGTGACTTTGTTCTTACAGTAAAACACTGCAGAAGACTTTTCGTCTTTAACAGGCAAGCGCTCCAATTCGATTGAAAAATAAACTGTGCGTTCTCTTCCTACCAATGTAAATTCATTAATTTAAACTGTAAAACACTATGAAAATCTGTAACTGTATTTTATGAGTAGTCAAATAGAACTTTATTACGAATACAGGGTTGCGTAGTTCTGCAATGAGCAATATAATCATTAAAACAATCTAACTACATAATATATGGATTTTCATAAAAAAATTCACATTAGCGAAAAATCTGAGTCAACAATTTCCATGACTAACTTGTAAGGAGTTACGTGTTTCGTGACTCAAACTGAAATCAATGCTGGTGAAACTCAAAGAAGAAATGCACGTACACGAATATAGATAATTCGGAGATATATGTCAAAACAACAGTTGCTGTAGAAAACTCACAATGTTATTTGGAGACAAAATTGTTTGATATTTCGTTATTTAAAGCGAATGGAGAGAAAAGTTATTTTATGTTTCAACTGAGAATTCGAAAGTTTTACTGTGTGATTTAAAATTATTTTATTAATATGGCTTGCGTAAAGAGCGCGCATTCGATAGTTGAGAGTTAAACAAATGATACAATGCTTATTCTATAGTAATACATACTCTATATTGTTTAAAGCAAAAATATTCAAGAAAATATTTACCCTTATTTTTGACATGAAAATATATATGTAATAAAAGTAAGTTTAACTATAGTTTTTCATTTATTTAAACGAATATCTTTTCCTAATACAGTTCGTTCAGGTTAACTCTTTTAAAAAAGTTCGAGATTTTTTTTGTATGGAATGGAATTACCATTAACATTGTACTTTGCCCGCCCACATTACATCAGTTCATAGTTCCCCCCTTGAACAGGATCACTGTTATATTATGAGTAGTTACTATCATTTCTTCTGAAAAGCAAATCATCACGGCAGAAATATTTTCCATCACCAATGGGTTTTATACAGCGGCGGAGTATGAATAATCGCACCAATAATATAATAATCGCAATTTTGCATAATTACGCGTTTATTATAAATTAATACTTGCTACTTATTATAGCACATGCGATTAATTCAATAAGTGTAGGTTTCTGGAACTAAAGGATACTTCCGATTTTGTGTTTGCCCCATTTTGTCAACGTAAAGGAAATGATTTTTCAAGTTATATTTTTATGAGAAAGGGTGGAATATATCCTTCTTTAAGGTATCTATTAATTACAATATAGGTTATATAAGACGCAGATAATAACTACCTATTTTAACAGCCACGGCCCAAATTAGTAAAATGAGGAGTTTGCTGTATTCATCGTAAAAGCTCTTAATGTCGGAATATATGTAAAGTAAAGTAAAGATAAGGTTGCAGGGTAGGCGATAGTATAAACTATGGTAAATATTTCCTATTGGGCTAATCTTGAGTTACTTATATGATTTCTGATATATCTTCAATTTATTTAATAATATAGTAGCCCTAAGTATTACCTATAGTTTTTCTAATTGCCATGAATGAATATAAACTAAGCAAGATTTTATAAGTTATAAAATAAACTCAATAGGTGTGCTTTAGAATTTGAGTCTTAGGCGTTCTCGTATCTACAGCAAGTAAGTTTCTCAAAAGTTGTACCAGATTAACTCATTCGATTCTAAGCAGATATTGGCTTTTTTTTATTTGTTTATGAAAAGAAGTTTTTTTTTATAAAAAGATGTATTGTATTCACGTTACAATAAAATTTACAACACGATTGTTTGATACGTATTCAACAGAGTGAAACAGTACCTAGTACGGCCAGATAACATCTGGGTTTGTATCGCATACGTCATCAAATTTTTGTTATCCGCCACGGCCGCTTGATTTTTACGATGACGTTACATATTTAATGACGTCTAAATCGGGACTTTTTTATTTTTCAGTAGAGGACAAGGATTAATTTTAAAAAAGTGATAACTTAATAGAAAATTTTATTTTTGTGGGTAATTTAAAAAGTTTTACGTTATCTATAAAATTATGTTCCTATGTATGAACAAAAAAGATGTAAAATATAAAATTCATGTAATCATGTGCATATAATTTTCGTTGCCTTTTTAAATTATTATTGTAGTTTTAATTTTAATAACAAAACCTGCGAATTTAGTTCTATATATTTTGGTATAAATAATGCACGTCAAAACCTTAATTTTACATTTTATCAAGATTGATGTATAATAAAATTAAAAACATTACACTATAATATTCATTCAAATTTATTACAAAATTACAAAGAGCGCTGATTTTGCATCACACGACAAACTGTTCCGCTTTAAAGGGGCGCACTGTGCAAACTTTCAATAATTCACAAACCGCCAAGGAAAATTACGGAAAGCGTGAAATTCCTACCCTTATGTGCCAGGTCCGCAGTACATAGTTTCAATTGGGTAGGGCCCGACACCGCCCCGGCTCACTATTGGCCGGCGCTCGCGGCGAGGGGAGAGCCCCGGCGGCTATTCGCTACCCGACCTCCCACTGTCGATTCCACGTGGTCCGTCTACACCTGCCTTTATCTTACGCCGCGTCACACCAATTCATTTAGTCTCTCACCCGACACGACGCGTGCGACACCCGATTTTGGGGGATGCCGTATCTGTGATCGATCGTCAGTTGTTATGGATCACCTCCCAGCGTGCGCGGCACTCAGGCAGCCCGGAACTGTGATAGTCAGAATCAAGATGGAAGTGGCCAGTTGTTGTTCAGGGTCTGGGCCGTGCCTCGTCCGGCATTGCCCGAAATTTGTACACAGGCCGTCCGGATGTGAACGATGCAGTAGGACTAGATTAGTTAGCCAATACAGTGACTGTGATAGTGGTATAGTGGAAAAATGCCGACCCTACAAATCAAGCTCAGCTAGAAGTAGTAAGCTAATTTTTTTTTACAATATAAAAAGAAATACGATTTATTTTTCACGACTTTGTTTTTTTTATTTTTGAACTAAGAAGCAAATATTTTGGAACAGGAAAAATGATACAGCACTGAAAAACAAACTTAGTTTTTTTTCTATTTATGAAAATTTTGCAATATAATTTATAGGATTTGTGTGTCTATAAATTAACGATAAACAATTTTTTTGCTACGGAAACTAACAAATGTATCATCCATCGCCTCGATGGTGACACAGTACAAATATTTTAATAAGAAATTCTTGGTGGCATAGTTAATTCATAAAAGTGAGCTTACGTGCAATTTATTATTACTTAAATAAAAATTATATCACTCTTGTTCAAAATATATAAAAGTAAGCTTACGTGCAATTTATTATTACTTAAATAAAAATTATATCACTCTTGTTCAAAATATATAATAAAAACAATAACTATCTTATATCTCTAGTTTTTTTATTGGGTTAGTATAATTTTGTTAGTGCTAAACTGATTTTAATCTACAACTTTATTGCTTTTTCCTAAACAGTCCTAATGTTATACAAATAAAAAATATTGGTATTGTTGAAAATTTAAATATATTTTTTCAGACTGCTGTAAGAGATTGTTTTCAACAAATTACCTTTAATTTTTTTTCAAAAAATAAATAAATGAAACTCTTGCACTTTAATGAGAGTAACTTAGATTTCAAAAAAATAATAAATGAACCTTTTGCATTTAGATGACAGTAACAGATTTCCAAAAATAATTAAATGAACCCCTTGCATATAAATGAAAGTAACAAAGAGTCTATGTTCCATCTCATGTTACCAAAACAGTTCTCAAGAATTCACAATGATCTAATTCTTATCGTAATGTATACAACATCTCCTTTTGCTAACGCGGCGAATCTATTTACATTTCGCCGCGTGGAGAATGCGTCCGCATGACAAGGTAGAGTCCCGAAAGAAATGTCTTATCTAGCCACATTATGCTCGTAAACTGAGTATCCGGTCATAGGCACCTTTAAACAGTAACATAGCTCGAAAAAACTCAGCTCTGTCGCGTCTTTACAATCTTAAACACGAACATAAGGGCAACTAACTAGTCTTAAACTGCAATTAAAGTAACGTACTCTTACCGGAATGACATATCTGACTAAATGTTTCTATCCTTTAACAGCCGTACAGTTACATGCGTCTGCGCATAGAGGCCCATTTCGTAATTAAACCTATCGCCGGCAGCTCTCGATATGGTCCGGGAAATTATTTAACTTCATTCGTTCCCTGGTAAAAATGCGTTCACGTTCACATTTATATATTACGCATTAAAAATTAAAAATAACTAAATAAAACATATTACGTAAACCATTTTTCTTTTCTACAACGTCGAGAGATTTACACTATTCCCCAAATTGTTTAAAGTGGTCTCTGTACCTCTTCTAAATTTGTTATTCATCATTATTCATTTTTTGTCATCTAAATTAAGTTCCACCGCATTGATAAAGAAACAATTAAATAACGATTAATGTGACGGTTTATGCAAAACCTCAAAAGGGGGAAATCATAACTAATAGAGCGGTCATTTTTTCCCGGAAGTAGATCGGTGAGTAGTGTAAACAAAATCGGGACGAGTTAAAAGTAAACTTTTATTACTATCATTATTGTTTATCAGTACTTCTTTAGAAAAGAGTGCAAATATTTTATAGTAAAGACTTCTAAATAATAAAATGTACGTCTTTACAACAAATGCAATATGCTTGCTCTTGTAAACACCATTAAAGGGGGATGCTCTTATAAAATTGTTTACAGAATAGCTCGCGAGAAAGCAATGTCGTTATATCAAAGTACATGTAGTTGGCTCGATTTCATGAACTATGTCCGCGTCATTAGGGCTGCGATCCACTCGCTCATTAGCAACATTTTCACATAAAGCGATGTTCATTTACGCACAGTAAGGCTACCGCGTAATTATAAACAGTTATTTCAGTAAGACGGCAACTCATAATTGCAGTGTTTAGCTGTCACCCTTTTAGTCAGATATGCTGATCGGAGATTATTTTGCAATCTTCGCCCAAAGAGTCCCAAAAAGTTGCGCAATTCGGATAAAAAACGAATGTACATTTAAATTGCACTGCTCTAAATAACGTAAAAATCCATTCAATTTTACAAGCGATCGCGGTAACATCACTTGATACCTTATTAAATTTAATTTAAGAAAAATTTGCTTCGTGGCGGTACGGTCACGGTATTACCATTTAAAGCGATTTTTAGCTAATGAAAAATGTATCACCGCGTCTCACAAACACCTCGCAATGCACGTCGCCGTGTCATAATCGCTCTTATTATGCGCAGTCAAATTTTACGAGCGCATCGGTTGTTAATCGCCTCTAACGAAATAATGAACAGACAAATTAAACCTCTATTATGGGTAACCGAGACACTCTTTCTATGCAATGTCACTCCTATATTAGTTACCGTTAACGAACCACCCTATCTCGAGCTAGTAAACAAGGTGGACTATCACAAAAGATGCGAAAACAAGCCGACATTATTTGAGCCGTCATTTCGCGACCGCTCGTTATCGCAAAAATAATGATTGCATCCAAAATTTGACGCGTTTATAATCAGAATTTACATAATGATTGCGCTGGCGCCCTGTGTCGAACGCCTCCGAGCGGACGCACACTTTTCTCGGTTTTCGAAACGAAATTCTAGTTAGCGAGAGCGCGATTTCTTTTTAAAAAGGTTAACAAGATGGTCTCGTTTGGGTCGTTTTCCGTGCGGCGATGCCTCCTTTTGTGAACGGGCGAGCTGTTAAAAAATAAACGAACTCTTTGTTTCTCGGGTAGTCGGGCCGACCTCCGACGCGGTCCCTACTTTTTTATGCCCCCTTATAACCTGTGTATTACCTACGTGTAGGTATCTACATTTTTTTATGGTCGTTCGGTCAGTTCTTCAATGGGCTAAGGAATTCAATCGAGTATCTCCATTGTTGCTATAGATACAATTAGCTCTTGAAATGTCGCTTCTAATTGATGATACCAGTCCCTCATCGAATTTAAACGAAATTGAGACGACGAAAGAATATCGATTTTGAAGCTGTCTGGAACAATTTTTCTTCAATTATGTCGTAATTGTTGGTCTTACGTTCAGCTAGTAAGTATAACAGTTCCATCTTGATAAGATCATTTCTCAACAAACTTTCAGTGTGAGGTTCTCAAGAAAATATTTGTCTCTCGGTGACTCTATGCCTTTTACGATCTGACCTGTTATTTTTTTGGTTGAACTTTTGACGGCGGTCTCGCGGTTGCTTTTGACCGGCTCACTAATAAAATGTTATGATCGTGTGTTTAACGCGTGTGTGCCGGTGTCGGACCTTCTTTTTGACATGATCGTTATTGCCCGAGTCCAGCTTTGCGGTCGCCTTTTATACCACGAGCTAGCTAATAAATTCAATATTGTACTCAATCTTGAGCTTTGTTTCTACGACTGTAGGGTTTTAGGTGTGATATCAGTGAAGCGACCGTGCAACTTGTCTGTAACAACATTATTATCGTGTCAATTATGCAGCAATATAATGTCTACAACTAAATCACTCCTAGTTAGTCCTCGCGCCCCACAGTGACGGCATTTGTTAATGCAAATGATGCGTTTGGAAGCTTCGAAAGGGGATAATGTTTTGTCTCTTTCTGTCTGAAAAGAGGGGCGTGTAGTAATCTGCGGTGCAGGCTCTAGTTAAATAATAAGCGGCAAAGCACCCTATAAGTATAATTTCGTTTTATTTGACCGGCAGCCCGAGGCGAGACGAAATCGCCGCAAAACTGACTAACGAGACCCGTAAAAACTCACGCATACCTACATTTGAGCTAATTGTGTGAGTGTATCGATGAATTTGACTTTGAGTTTTACCGTTCGCGTTCCCACAGGCGATCATGTTGTCTGTAACGAAACGCAATAAAATTATGAATAATACTTAAGTTAGACTTTTATGAAAAATACAATATTTTTCAAAAGACAAATGGAACAAATAAATATTCCTATAAAATATTGCTGCTTAAAGTAAATTCTTGCTCAATAACAAAATATTAAAGAAAAGCTAGTGAAAAACCAGATGTTTGTAGATACTCATCATCTTTTACAAAATGGCGCTAAGATTACCTCTGTTTATTAGTCACCGCTCATATTATAGACACAACAGTGTGAATCAGACATTGACTCAAAACACTGAAAAAAAAATTAAACTCGAATGAGTACCTTTGTAAAAACGTGCCATTCAACTCTATTGTAAAGAAGTAACACTGTGTTTAAAATCTAAAATACTATTAATATATATTAATAGTATTTATATATATATTAATATATATACTTTAAAATACCCACGTAGGGATAATAAGTCGGTGCCAATCCACTTCAATCAATTTATTATTTGAATAAAAAATTAAGTAATTTAATGGCTAATGGATAGTAGTTATAATATTTTATTTCACTATAATTTAGTAAAAGTTTCACAAGTGTCACTATAATTTAGTAAAACGAAATTTTCATTATGTCATAATAAAATTATGTTTTAACTACGCAGCTGTAATATGAAAGGTCGATAAATTGAAAGTGAAGAAAATCGAAGAATTTATCGAAAATCGATACTAGACCGTAGTATCCGCTCGTCCACCGTTAAAGCTAGCATTAGTCATTCAAACTGACCTAACGAACAATTAGCAAGGCTGTCCACCTCTTCCCCGCGATGTATTTGATGATATTTATTCATCGGATGTTCATCGATTACCATAATCGATAGCATCGCACGCGACGCATATGGAAAGCTTTTGTCAGTTTTCATTGAAAAGAAAGATTTGTAGCGACGCCAAAAGAAATCGTTAACTTTACGATCCTTTATAATCGATTAATTTGTCTAGTTACCGATAGCGCAAATCCCCTATTGATAACTTATTCAATTATATTCATTTGTAATTCCCTTATAAAATTCATAGAACAAGCATACACGTGTTACATAATAATTTCACCGTTTGTATCTGTGAATAGTAATGGTCCCCAGATCCCGTAATCAATCTTTCTTTTATAAATATTTAAACATGACTTCGTCGAGTGCGTTCACAGTATCGAAATTCAGAATTTGAAATAACTTGTAAAACAATCATTTTTATTTAGCTACTTTAAATGCAACCTTTTAATAAATTCGCTATTGACAAATGCAATTTTTACACAATTATTTATAATTTCTATCAGGCACAGTAAAAATCTTGGAAAAATCATTTATCTTAGTTTCCAAGCATCTTTTCGACTTGGTCGTGCCTTTAATCGATATTTTTTTGTGTTCTCGCCAAAGTGTTCATTATTCTAACTAGATATCGCGTTTATTCTACAGGATACGTCAACGTCTGTGCGACAGTGTGCCTGCTATTATTGGTTGGAGGTTTGTCTCCGCGATCCTCAGCGGCGCCTCACAGAACTCGCAACATGGAACGACAGAAGAGAGCTGCCGACGATGAAAACTACTTGTGGCGCTACCCGTGCAGTTACAATGCCACCAATGTAAGTATTAAACAAAAACCTACAATTCAAAAAAACTGCTAAAGAGCTGCCTTTTTTCCTTAACATTTAAGTATTCTGTCGATTGTGCATCATAATGCACGGAATAATGCATCATGACAGCATCTTTAGAATTGAAATATTCTGGTTTTTATCAAGCAAAATCATGAGACATTATGTACTTTACATTACTGATGTATGTCCAATGAGTCCTTCTTGATGTAAGTAGTGCACATGATAAGCAGCCTTCACTTTTTTTTTTCAGCCTAAACCTTACTTGCCAAAAGACGCCAAGCACGTCGCGCAGCAAGCTAAAGATGTTTATGAGCAGGCGGCGAGCTACAAAGATCAATTCGTAAGTGTGCATTATATTTTTTTTGTTTCGATATTTCGCTTTCGTTGATCGACGGCTAGGCACCGCGCTCCTGGCGTATCATTATGCCCGCCGCGTGTCGCTAAATAAACGGACGGACCTGTGGAAGGATAGTATCAATACTAATAAAGTGTGGCCGCTAAAATTGCGCATACGCACCATGGTTTGATCGTTGATGTTATATTAACTGTCTGTAAGCAAGTTTAATGTCATTCGCGTTAGTAGAGATCAAGCTTTTTAGTTCTTTAGCAGATAAACTGTTCAGATTCTTTGCAAGTCATTGTTATTTTTCATTGTGCAATATTTTACTGTTTGAATTGACAAATTATAGACGTTTTATTGCAAATTTAAAGGTTTAATATAAAAAATTGTCTGAATATATTTATTTTATGCACGAAATCTAAAGTACGTACTTATTCAGCCTTGTTTTATGAAGTCAAAGCAGCATCTTAAAATAATGCAAATTTGTACTTATCGAAAAAACAAATCGACACCGACATTTCGCACCCGCAGCCGTTTCCCAAAAACTTGACCCATTAAGGATTCTCCGGCGCTTTCTTACCGGCGCGCGTTCTCTCGGCGCGGTCGGCGCGCGCGCAGATCGCATCGGCGCGGGCGCCGCGCTCGCCTCCGCCCGCGTCCGGTCGACGCTTCCTCCCTTTTAATTATAATTTTGCGGTGCATTTGCCACAGACATCGTGTGTATTTTACAAAACACCTCGATAACTGGGCGCGGTCGATCGAGCATCTACGGACACGCGAAATAGAACCTCCACCCAATTAGTTTCTGGCCGATAATAGATTTAAACGGATACACGTAACGTCATTTCCGTTTACACACCTCTTCCTTATGATTTCTCTTTCATTGTCTCATTGACAATTTACTCCTGTATTAAACCATTTTTTTTGTTGAAGCCTGTTTCTATAAATTAGGAAGGAACGATGCCTCCACATGTAGACGTGACAACCTATATTTTAGAATTCGTAAAACATTCACGAATTGTTAGAAACGAACGCACGGCATGTTAATACAACGATTCATATGACGTATCTATCATTCCGATCCTAGGAATATTATATTTCCGAATCGGAAGTAAGGTGGACCGATCAACGAGCAATAATGCGATGTCGATGTCGCGTCTCGAATCCTTTATGGATGACCCCCTACCACTGCATTCGCTCATCACGTTGCCTTTGGACGTGTAACGGGTGTGTTTCGGGCTCGGTTTGAGAACGTGATTGATTTATTGAGGAGCGAAGAGTCAATGGATGCGGAACAATCGATAGTTTTATGCCCAAATGGGCATCGTCGCAGATGGTGTCCGCGTATGAGGTGGCATTGTAATAGTCGACAGTCGTAACGACGGCGACGTCCTGTCAGCCACCACCGCCTCGTAAAACGACTTTATCGACTCACAGTAGCCGGAACGAGCCACGGTACAGGACGGTGCGCATACGCATCGAATACTGATTGTGCATTAGTATTGCGCGACACACCTGCCCGACGATTTTTTCTGTCTCTCCCATTAATGTCGGTCATTCGTCAATAATATATCATACTTATTGCGATTTAGATCGAGCCTCGAGTCGATGAACCGTCATTGTTAGTGATAACCAAGGCCGAATAATGGATCTTTTGTTTTTGGTTTGAATCTGTAACAATTGAAATCTTGTGTATGCTCGATATAATTATATAATTAACTTCTTGCAAAGATGGATAATGATACTTCGCATAACCGGCAGCAACAAAAATATCATAGCGAAAAGAGAACTAAAATAATTTAAAGGACTACATCCAAATTACACCGACCAGGGCAAGTGTCGTCAACCCATTCCATATTATAATAACTGACCGCGTTACTAAGAACGCAATAATAAATTCAACGAACTCTACCGGTATGTGTGACTCGCCGGCAACCGTGTGAATGTCTCACAACACTCATAATTTTTACACGGTGACATGTTACCGCATCTTAAGCTCAGTTATTCTAATCTGATGAAAAAATCTCATTTTATTTGAACGTTGCATTCGCGAGGAAATCCGATAGGCTGCGTGGTCTGGCCAACGCTAGCGTATGTATCTGCACTCTTATCTTGGCAGTGACGCTTTAAACATTGGATTACTATATGTTTGTATATAAGTAGTACAGTATCGTTGTACTGGCGACAGGCAGTCTGCGCCGCTCTGCGCGTACGTGTGCCGTAAATAATGTAATATAATGTTCCCCGCGCGCTTGTGTGCGTGTTTGTATGTTTATTTGATAAGCTTCCGATGCCAGCTAGACACTCGGATGTCTTCGAATTTCTCGCCACCCACAGTCACTTTAAATATAGTACGAACTTTCGTGAACTATGATAGTGTTTAGATATGTCGTTGCAAAATAATTCAATTAAGCGCAAACCTTAACAAACAGAACTAGGAATCTATATCATACAATTTATCGGTTAAATTTCCAGCGAATCTGCCTGTTGTTGTTTTCATCTGTGCTATTTCAGTTTAGTTTTTTATCAGTTTTTGATGTCACTGCCGCATTATTTGAACGACAATAATAATTATAGATTAAAAACAATAATATGGATTTACCCAGTTGGTTTCTTTTTGAAATATAAGATTATTTAACAGAAGTAATACATTTATTGGTAGATTTTTCATGAGGTAGAACACATACATAGTAGGCATAGTAAATATAGTTTTTTCTTAAATTACTTTATAACTACAAATAATTACACATAACAAAAAAGTATACTCTCACTCTATCCCTCCCCTGCTATATTAAGGGTGGTTTTAAGATCTGTGATACGTTTTAGGTATATAAAAGAGGACTTTTTATTTAAGTACTATTTTAAATTGTGTGTACTTTTCAGTTCAGGTGTGTATTGAGGTCTATTCCTAACTTGTAATTATGTTTTTCACATTACAGTGATCAATCAATTCTATCAAATCATATAACTTCGGTCAGGTTGAAATCTCTCTTTACTACGACGTACATACCTATGATGTAGATTCCATGAAATAATTGTGTAGAACCGTGACATAGATAATTCGTAGGTATCACTTTGGCTGTGGTGTGACGCGACCTCAGCCGGACGCGCACCTGCGAATTCGGATAGTAACTACACCAGCGCATTCCTCTTACAGGCGAACTCGCTTACACAAACATTCTTACCAACTTTTACTGTCATGAATCACGATCAGTACACCCAGATGCAGCAATCGTCGTTCAAGCTTACATTCGATATCAATACAACACACAATAATTGCATCGAAATGGCTTCCCACTCGTCGCAATTAAATTGAAAGTGCAATTAAACTTGTGAAATATTATCTCCGAATTTGTTAATAATCGCAAACGACACCGCGTGCTATCAAAAATACGGGAGGGTGTCACAATGTAAGCCGAAACGATTTATCAAACTCTTGAAACCCATCGATGTGCCTACGTTACGTGATCAACACTGATAAGTTTGCACAATACGAATTTTCAAAGATTTAACGCAAAAATGCCTGTTTTAATTAGCGGTATTGTTGCCCAATAATTTACTATGGGGAGGCATAATTTCTACAGGCTAAATGTTGCATCTGCCACCGTTCGGAGCGTCATTCAAAAGCTTTTGAGCTTTAGACGTGTATTTTAGGGTTTATTTTTAGTTGACCGCATCTTCACATGGTGGTCGTATAGTGTCAAATTTTATTGTTGAAACGTTTGTGTGGTATGTTACGTGACATGTCTACAACAGAGTGGCTCGGTATCATCTTTCGCGTGACCTTGTGTATCCCGTTAAATTGATACGTGTGCAGACGTTAAATTTGGTCTCTGCAATGACTGCAAATCTTTTTTCTCAACAAAATAAATCAAATCAATATTTCAAGACCATTTTTTACGTTATAATCTAAAGAAAACTAAAAAATCAATCACGTCACTCTTAATGAACAGAACTGCAAGGTGTTTAAGCTCCTGATACCTGTTATTATCCAGTTGAGCGCAAAACTACAATCACAGTATCAACCATTAAATCTTGCCCTACCGCGCCACATATTCAATGATAATAGGTAGATCAAGTAACGCTGGACGATTATCTATTTATCTAAGTGCCCCGACGATTGTCTTTTCTGGGAACAAACTGCAGTAGCGACTACGTTTTAGTGCTTTTTTAATATTATTTTTAGAAATAACCAAACATTTTTATGGAAGTTAAAAATAAGTAAGTAGGTACTTTAGACTAACTTAAGTATAAATCATATTGTACACTAAATATATTGTGGAAAAAGATATAAACGTTTAAAATAAACTAATAGCTTATAACATACTGACATTCAAAAACTAATTTTGATTCAAATTTGAAACTTCAAACTCACTAGAATGTTATCTCCAAAGTAGCTATGTTGTAAGTTGGTATCCCAGCATTCACTCAGAGTGTCCAGGATCACGAACCATATATATACGATCCAGCAGGATACCGCATTTGTCCATCTTCCGCTCCTCTTGCCTATTCCATGGAAGTCAATTATCGCATTGTACCAACTTGTTTCTATTTTCATACAGTTCATAGAATTATAACGGGCTAGTATCGTATTGACCGTTGATTCATTCAAGACGACATGTTTGCGACTACTGTTATTGGAAAGCTTGCTTGGATTAAGGAGACGTTAATTAGATCGCAACCGTGTTGATCTAAGTATAGATATATCAGAAGTATTGGGGGTACACTCGAAATATAATACAAATTAAGAAAAGGTGATACTCGTATTTACCGTAACAACGTGACAGGTCTTGCTGCATTATGCCGATAATATTTATTTACGCTTTGGACTCTGTAACGCACCTCCCTAATGAATGATAGCTTATCTTCAGTTATAGTGACGTAAATATATATATGCACTTCGATATTAAAATCGTACTAATATTTTAATTGTGAAAGTTCGTGTGTTTGTTACTCAATCACGCAAAAACGGCTTAATGGATTTGGATTAAATTCAGCACTCAGATTGTTTTATTACCTGGATAGAGATATAGGATATTTAAATTCGCAAGAATCTTAAGTTCCTGAGGGATTCTCAAAAAACTAAAGTTCACGCGGACGAAATCGCGGGCGGCTACTAGTCTACGTATATTTCGTTTCTCATCCATTATTGAAACTGAGAAATAATCAAAATACATTAATATTATGAATATAATGATGAATCCACTGCCAAGTACCTCCATAGGCATTTCTTCTAATGGTGACTTCCTTTTGTTACAGACAAAATTGCACAGTTTCGATACGTTCGAAAACTTACTGAAGGAGTGGAAAGATGACTGGTTGAGAAAATTCCCGTGGTTCCGTGAAGAGGTGCTGCCTAAGACAAAGGTCCTCTTCCAGAGAGTGCCTGATGAATATGTAGTAGACTTAATGGTAAGAATATCCTAAACCCACACACTGATCTTTTGCTTTTTTGCTTCTTTAATTAGCTACTAAAAATAACGGCATCATTTCTAACATATCAAGGGTTTATTCAACCGTAGCCCGATTGTTATCGTTAGGCGGTAGTCATTAGCACAGATTTAGGAGTGAGGAGAAGAATTCTATCCTGTTAGAGAGCCAATGTTAATTTAATGCATACCCTTGGCTAGTGCCAAACTTTTTATCAGTAGAAAATTGGGACGCGAAATTTTCTAAACTAATTAAGTATATCGTGAGAATGCCGGGTCGAAATTTGTTTCCTAAACGAGAACAATGATCGCGACCGGCGAATTCGCTGACGTCAAAAACGTGCATCCGTAAGAGTTTTTCGTTCGCTTCCGAGGAATCGGCTTCGTCGGTGGCACTCATTGTTGCTCGATGTCGGCCGCCGTTACGTGAGAATACAATCATTTCGCAATTCGAACGTTTTCATCGCGTATGTCATTGATCGATACCGAAAGAAAGAGATATTAAAAATTCGATTGAGAGCATGCGCTTAATTGGGACTTGATAATATATAAGAAAAAGAAACTAACTTTTCATGTTTTTTAAAATGAATTCATAAGTTCATTTAATTTTGATAATTTTAATCGGGTCTAAAGGTTTTTAATTGAGTTCTCCATATTATACATCATCACCAGCCTATTAATGTCACCACTGGGGAACAGGTCTTCCCTATGGGTGAAATATAGAGCTTACCACTTGGATTGATTGGTGAGTGCTAACCACTGCAGATGTAGCTGAGATGAAGCACTGAGTAGCTCGAGATACAATGACTGAACTTTGCAAAAGTTAATGTAAATAACATAAACCAAGTACAAACTTGTAGTGTATACAAGTTATATCAAAATCGATTTTGTTTGTTGACAGGCAAACATTGACGATGTGCTGCCTCCGATGTACAAGGGGCTGAAGATGATAATGGCCAGCCTGCACAAGCTGAGCCTCAGTCTGAAGAACGACGGCATCAGCTCCGACGAGGAGCTCGCCGGCTACATCTCAACAACGATGAACAATGTTGGAGCAGTGCTCTGCTATTTCTATGTAAGTATTCTCTTACTTTAATAGTATCGAATAAAAATACTTTTTTAAACTGCAATCAAAAATAATCACACATTTATTTAGATTAGATCGGATTCTTTACTAGTTCTATTTAAAGATTTTTCGAAGCTTTAAGTAAGATTTATAGAACCGTCAAAAAGCTTTGCATGCTATAGATCTGTAAAAATAGTTTTATAATTTTATTAATAAAATAGTTTACACTCAATGTACTCTAAAAACTTAAACTTAGTTATGTTAGATTTAATAAAACCAAACTAACGTTATCTTAATTATTGTTACAGGATCTGATGAAAGCACGTAATCTAGAAATATTTCCCGTGTACGATTCAGAAATCCCTGACATCAATAAGTCAAATAAGTTGGAACTCGGCCTCTACATCTACAGGGACACTCTTAACTATCTGGAATACATCGCGCAAGTCTTCGAAACTATGTCTGAGACGAATCTCCCTCCGACCGCTTGAAGCGATAACTTGTTTGTGCTAGAATAAGATAGCTAAATACGAGGAACTTCCTTCGCGTTTCACCAATCCTACGTTCACATATCTGCTAGATGTAACACATGGACAATGAAAGGCTCCTAGATGTAGATAAAGTGAATTTCGAGGCTATATTTATGCCCAAAACTATACGCATTGTACTTATATTATTTTTTGAATCTGTCGAGTTTAATTGTTATGATTGAGACGACTACTGCAATTAGCGGGGCTTTCGCAGGTTTATAACACTAATTCAATGATGTTCCTCAACTCATGAAAGTTGATCCGTAATGAATTCCTCTTTAGTAAATTGTTTTTTGGCTGTTGTTTAGCGAATAATCTTAGTAAAAGAGATGTCATTGCCATTACATTGCCATTTTGGTCTAAAACGGATTAGTTCCTTTTAATGTAAATAGTGATGAATTTAAAACTTATTAATTTATTATCCTGCTGGTTTAACATTCTAAATTTCCCGATTATCCTAGTCAAGGTCTTAACTTATTTATTTCACTGAACTCCACTATAGTTTCAATTTATTTTTATTGGTATTATTTAATATAGATTTTAGTGTTAGTCTTCATTCCACCAGAATACATGTTGTATGTCTATGTTATGTAAATTATTGAGTGATTTTGTGATAAGTGTTGAATGAAAGTAGTTTTTATTTGTATAAATATACAGATTATAAATGTTTAGCAGTGAAATGCTTGTGACTTGAGTAGGCAACATGGCCTGCACTAATTTAATTGTACATTCTATTCCTACTTTCTTTAGTATTAATTGACTCTTTGTTAACTATTTATATTACTGTTAAATCCAATGAAATACGATTAGCTTTAATAGATTATTTTAAAGTACAGAGCCAGTGTATTATTAACTTAATCATTATTTGTATAGTTCAAATAACACCTATTTATAACGGACAAACATGCTGTCTGTGTTTGTGAAATTAAATTATTATTACATTATATGGTTTTGTTTTCTTTTTCATATTGCTTTTTCATATACTTGTTTAAAAGTATCGAGTAATGCAGTAGTATTTGTCGTGAACTTGTAAACTGTCCATAAACTGTACTTAACAAATTTTGAAACATATAAATAACTACCCTTACGTTTGAGATCTTGAGATTCAGGATCAATATTATCAATAAACTCGGTAACTGATCGTCACCCGGATCGGATCGACACTCGAGCCGTTAAGCATTCTTTGTATAAAAATCCGATCTGCATCCGTTTCCTTGTGGTCTTACTTATTTTTCCGGGGGATAACCAGAAAACTTTATATTTCTTACTACTAGCAATACAAATTATTAAATGATACATTTTCATGTTCCCTTTTGTCAAGTTCGAAGTAAAAAAAGGAAAAAAATAAGTATAGAAAATTTTTACTAGAAAAAATTCAAATCGGTAAGTGCACCCACCCAGACTTGGTAAGGTTACAGATAGGACTCAAACCTGCGTATTCCACTGTCCGGGTGGATACACTAACGGTAACGGTAGCATAGCGATAAGTGCACCCGCCCGGACTTGGTAAGGTTACAAATAGGACTGAAACCTGCGTTTTCCACTGTCCGGGCGGGTACACTAACGGTAACGGTAGCAAAGCGGTAAGTACACCTGCCTGGACTTGGTAACTTTTACAGATAGGACTCAAACCTGCGTATTCCACTGTACGGGTAGATACACTAACTGTAACGGTAGCATAGCGGTAACTGCACCCGCCCGGACTTGGTAACTTTTACAGATAGGACTCAAACCTGCGTATTCCACTGTACGGGTAGATACACTAACTGTAACGGTAGCATAGCGGTAACTGCACCCGCCCGGACTTGGTAACTTTTACAGATAGGACTCAAACCTGCGTATTCCACTGTACGGGTAGATACACTAACTGTTACGGTAGCATAGCGGTAACTGCACCCGCCCGGACTTGGTAACTTTTACAGATAGGACTCAAACCTGCGTATTCCACTGTCCGGGTGGATACAGTAACGGTAACGGTAGCATAGCGGTAACTGCACCCAACCGGACTTGGTAAGGTTACAGATAGGACTCAAACTTGCGTATTTCACTGTCCGGGCGGATACACTAATGGTAACAGAAAATAAAAGACCAAAAGTTATGTTAAAAAAATAATGTATTAAAATCTAGTGGGATTATACCGCAGTAGGACAACGAGGAACTAGGCAGTTAATCATTTATATTTGCAGTAGGACCACGAGGAATAGTGCTTCCTCATGGCCCCACTAGTAGAAAAAAATAGTGATGCAACGAATACTACTTTTACGAATACGAATATCAAACCTACTATCCGGCGAATATGAATGTGAACAACTTGGCAGAGTAGTAAAACACTCATTTATTAAACCCTTTTCTAGTTGTTTTAATATACTAATAATGTTTTGCAACTGTATTTTTTTTTAAGAAAATACAACATCTGTAAATTAGCTTTCTGAGTCGACTGTACTAGGTTTGTATGAAAACTATTTTTGCGTGAGTGTTTGCAATCTTGGACTGAGTGTACTCAGAACTTTTTACTTTGGTGTTTCAATTTTGAAATAAAATGTATGAAACGTATGTCCAATTTCACATTTGTTGCTCCTGGAGAGTAGGTTTAGCACGAAGCCTGGTATAATCAAACGGAAATGTTTACAATTTTTTTTTCTAGTATTCATATTCGTAAATATTAATCCGGCGAATACGAATATTCTTATTCGTATTTTTTACATCAGCAACTATGAGGAAACTTGTCATACTGCAACGCACCGGAGTCGTAATGTAATCGCCTCGCCTTGGAAAAGCTCGTGCCCCGTGTCGAGGCGATAACGTTACGACTCCGATAAGTGTGCGCAGCAGTAGGGAGTTTCATAAAATGAATACTGAACGGCTCGAGTTGATACGTCGATGATCACTTTCTGAGTTTATTGCTGAGATTGATCCTGAATCTCAAAAGTAAGGGTAACCATTTGTACGTTTCAATCAAATATAGAAAAATTGCTGCAAGTGGTCCTAAGAATCTAATTCCAGTAGTTGCCGACTCTGTACCTAGGAAGGTAGGTAGGTATGAGTTATATATTGTGTGCATTGAATAACGAGTAGAACTGTATCAGGAATAAACAAAAACAGAACGATATCAGTGAGTTTCCTTAAATAATGATTCACATTTCTGATAATAATAAAAAAAAAATACTTGCATTTCTGTTGCTTTCTGCAGTTTTTAAGAGACAAGCGGTTTTCCTGCTCTAATTTGAGCATATTCTTCACCATAAAGAAGACAGTGATAACATTGTGGAGTTGTTTTCCTGTCGGTAAGTAAGGTGTGTTAAGGCTACTTGGCTGGGTACGTACTCATGTAAGACCTTTGGAAGCTTAAAAGTAGTATTCGTCTGAGCAATATCGCCAAATTTTAAATAATATATCAGTATATCAACAATTCGCCTGCGATCCTTGAAGTTAAGCAACATTTGCAGTAGTCAGTCATTGGATGGGTGACCAAAAATTTACTATCTCGATATCCTCCGTGCTTCGGAAGGCACGTTAAGCCGTTGGTCTCAGCTGAATCTGCAATCGTTAGCACCCACCAATCTGCACTGGGCCCGCGTAGTGAGTTATGGCCCAATCTCCCTATTCCATTCATAGGGTAGGCCTGTGCCCCAGCAGTAGGGACATTAATAGGCTGATTATGATGATGATGAAATCAACAATGAAAAATTAGCATCGCATTTCTGATACTGCTGTTGCAGGTGTCTATGGGCGACGGTGATGACTTACCATCAGGTGAGCCATCAGCTCGTCTGCCCCTATAATATAAAAAAAGAAACAATGAAATGACTTAATAATTATTGTGCGAGGAACTAGCTTGCGAAATATAATTTTGAATATTATTACACTTAAAAGTTTCTTTGCTTTCGTTCGAATGGAATGATGGCCAATTGTCTAGTGCGCCAGGTGTTGTAGGCATCAGTAACCGCTTACCATAAGAATCGAACATGCTTCTTTTCAACCTTAAGAAATAAAGCTTATGTAGCTATAACCTCATTTACCACATTGCAAGTAAGTCCGATAACTTTCACAATTTCTGTCAAATTGAGATAATTGTGTTTTAGCTTCTACCGTTGTTGAAATACAAAAAAACCGTCTTATCTAAGATGTGGACTTGTTACCATTTAAAAACTTATAGTAATGTTTTTAAATGATTTAGAAAGTTTATGAAAGCACACCAGCTTTTCCGCTCAAATGGTAGCGAGTGCCTGTGGAATAGTCCTCTTTGAAAATACTTATTGCAAGCCATCGCGCAACACAGACCTCCGTGCATACAACAGGATGTTAATAAAATCATTTGTATGTGTGGCAATATCCAAAATGAGGCAATTTCACCTGTAGACGATGATACGCTGCTAAATGGATATAACAGAAGTTAACAAAATAAATAACACTGCTTAACATTTTCCCCCTTATTAATTAATAATCGAAGAATAAGCTTGGATTAGCTACTCTTATTTTCGTCTCTGTTCATTGAAGTACAAATGGCACTTTAGTGATATGATCAAAAGACGGTTTAAGCATTTAATTGCTAGATGTATGTATGTAAGCTTATTCCTCGTATTTTAATAATGGAGTTTGTGTATGTTAATTAGAAGGTATTGGACGTATTGTCCGTCTAGTTCTATTAATTAGTAGAATCTTAAAGACGCTTCTATTTATTATACTAAATTTATTCCGAGTTTCAAACGTAATGGTTAGTGTCATAATAATATTTAGTTAAATCAAAGTAAGAAGGTACAGCTATTAAAGTTTTTAAAAGTTAAAGTACTTTTATACATATAGGAATACAGGTAAGTAATATGTCTCCAATAAAATATAACCTGTTAAACGTAACCCTAATGATGTTGACCAACACAAATGACAAATAGAAAAAGTTATATTTTTAATTACTAAAAGTGTATGGTTGTCAATGATACGTGTTGTCTTATTCTATTGATTTTACAAAAAAAACTTTATCAAAGTTACAAAATTAATAAGAAAGCTGTTTGTGCAACGTATACTCTCAAAATAGGATGTAACTACATAATCAAAATAACCAAGACCACTAGCCGGTGACATCAAACCGGTGAACGGACGAGAAATTGTCGCCTAGCATTCCTTTATCACAACAGTTCCCATGGCGTTGGGTCTGGAACAATTTCACATCTTTACACAACATATTCACGACGACACGAGTATTTGCATTGGTGACTGGCGCAGCCGACGAATTAGAGCTGCTCAGAAAATAATAAAAAATCAACGACATTCTGTTAATAAAAAATGAGCCTTAAAATTAGGCTGTCAAGAGCCAAAGAGCGCGTGTGTTTGACTGTAGAACTACCTTATAGAAAATATTAGAGTCACCAACAAATAGTAAATGCGAGGACAAAAATAAGCAATCATTATTAATATAGAATTTGTACGAAGTGCAAACGCGAATCTGCACAAGATGTAAGTACCTTGTTTATCTTGACATTAATATAAACCTTTTTTAGTTAATAACTATTTAAATAATGTAACGCCACTTTAAAGTGTACTTATATGCCAACATGGTGTTTATAACTAATTACTTAAGTCATATAACTGTAAAATTCAAAAAAAAAATACCCAAAATTTATACAAAATGGAACACAGTCTTTTTAAAACACCGCTTTTTTTAATAAGGGTTTCATTAGGAAATGCAATACCGGAATCCCGAAATACCAAGATCCCGCATATATATTGCGGGACTAATCTTGGTCTAAACATTTTATAGGATCTCGCTGGATTGGCAGGAATACAGAGACGCGTGTTTTATTTGTACCTCAGTGTTACACTACGCGCGGCGCATATGAACGGAAATAATAGATTTAAAAAAACTTCTTTTGACAATTTAAGGTATTTGTTAAACATTTAAACTGCTTGAATTATGTAAACCCGAGCTTCCTCGTTTGCGCGAACGTTT